AGTTTTTTTTGACTCGCATTATAGTGTAGGCTTTAAGGGAAAAAAATGGCGGCGCCAGTACTGGATTTTTTTCTTTCTATTTTATTTTATTTTTAGGCTTCGATCCTAGTTTTTTTTTTAGTTATTATTGGTTTGCTCCCGCTCCCGTCTGCTCCCGTTAATGTTTAATCCTGTACCGTCCCAATCACGTGATCGTTACTAATACTGACTCCCATCCCACGGGAATCCCACGGGAATCCCGTGACCCGTGGGATTCCTGAAAAAATGTCAGGCTCTAGTGGACAGGGTGGACTCCGCCCTTCGACCCCAGCTCCCCTCGCCACCCCACTTGGGATAAGCGTGACGGGAAATGGATGGTTGGACAAAAGCATTATACAGTAGTCTAGTTGTAAAAAAAAAAAAAAAAAAAAAAAGGGGGGGGGGGGGAATTTTTTTTTTTTTTTTTTTTTTAGAAGCATACATTGCCTAATGAATATAGTCTATTAACCTAAAGCAACATACATGTTATGGTTGTTATGTGTCTAGTAGTTCCCATTGATTTAGCTTGGAAAGTGGGGAGAATGGCGCTAGGCTAACCGCACCGTGACGTCACTGCTGGAAGATGGCAGGAGGGAGGGGCTACTATATTTGGGCAAAAATGGCCGCTCCCAGACTCAGTGATCGCGATAAAAATTGTTTATTTTTTCGCTGATTAACGCTAAATTCATTAAATCAAGCAAGTATAAATAATGATCCATTGATTATTCCTCGCTGATCAGACTTCTCCTTTAATATATAATAGAAATTTTACACATTCAGTAATAAAATATCACAGGGGATGGATGGTATTATGTCATTTAAGAAGAATCTCCACTAAACTCCAGTACTGGTATTAGACATAAAGATATATCTACTTTAATTTTTTTATTAGGTGAATAAAGTCATAATATTAAATCAACAAGATAACAGCCAGTGTTGTATAAAGTACTGAAATCTGGACCAGTAAAAGTATAAGTACCGCTCCAAAATATGACTTTGGTTAAAGTCCAAGTCACTGCCTGAAATGTTACTCGAGTAAAAGTCTTAAAGTATCTGAAATGGCTCGTACTTAAGTATAAGAATTACTGTAAAAATAGAAAAATTTACATTCTTGGAAAGTATTAAGTACTCTAAAATATACTTGAGTACAGTAGTGAAGTATTTTTACTTCATTACTAAACAACACTGATAACAGGTAACATACTAGGTACTAGATTAGTCCCAACATTACAGGACTAAAGCCGAAACACTGAGATAAAAGTAATAACAAGAATAAAGTCCTAACGTTATCAGGAACATTAGGAGAATAAATCTGTGATAAAATGATAATAATAATGTAATAAAAAGGCAAACTGAATTTATTCCACATCTCTTCCACTGGAGATAATCAGCTTAGACGGCTCTAATAAAGCTTTAGTCTAATTAAACGTTTTGTCTCCTAATATAATGACTGAGTGCGACTCTAACAATCCTTCATGGATCCAAAATCCTGGTCCGGCTGCACTGCAGGTCCGGATGGGAGCAGATTTAGCCAAAGTCCATTCCTGAACTTCTCTCCGTTTCTCCAGAGATTGATCATTTACATCAACAAAGGAGACCATGGCTTCCATAACGGAGAGATGGACATGAAGACCATCTTCAGAGCCTTCGGACCGAGCTTCAAGAAGAACTTTGTGTCCGAGCCGTTCGACAGCATCCACATCTACCCCCTGCTGTGCAAACTGCTGCGGATCGAACCCGCGCCGCACAACGGGTCCCTGGAGGTGACGGAGGCCATGCTGTGGTCCGGAGGTGAGTCCGGGTTCTGGTGGATCCGCCGCGTATTTTGCAGAACCATCGAAGCGTTATCGTTGATGGAGAACCTTCTGTTTCTCTGCAGGGGAATCCCAGGGAGCCCGGTTCTCCGTGGTTCTGCTGCTGCCCCTGCTCCTCTCCACCGCGCTGTAACGGACCCAGGACCAGACCCGGATCATGCCCTGACCGCCTACCTCCACATCCAGCAGAAATGGTACCGAAGATGTCTAAACAGGTCCGGTGATCCTGGTACCAGACCACCGCTGATCCGTTTGATGAGTTGGCTTCATGATTCTGAATAAAGTTTCGCTTTGCTCTTCTTCTTCTGTCTCAAATAAAATCTGTTCACAGGTTTGTTTTAACATGTTGGACCGAGATCCATTTGGATCTGAACAGGGTCAGAACATTTCAATCATTACGTCAAAGAAGAGGACCTCAAGAAAGGAGCCATTTTAGGTTTCTGTTACCTTCATGCTAATTAGCCGTAGCTGGTGGTCTGGATGGTCCGTTTCTAGAAGCAGCAGATATATCCCATAATGCTTTTCAAGAGCTCTCCTCGCAAAGCATCATGGGATTTGTTTTAGGAGCAAAAGAGAACAAAGATGGTGGAGA